ATATATATATATTGATTATTCATTATACATGTTATTTCGCGGACTTTTCTTTTAGAAGTGAACATTTAGTCCTATCAAGCTTTCCGCTACCCCCTCTACCAGGGGTATCCTGTGTAAAGCTCAATGTCATGAAGATTGTCACCTTTATGGCCAATATAATAAAACAAAAATTCGTCCGAACAGGTGTAGTTTATTGAGATGATTGAACATAATTTGATATTAATAAATATAAAAAATAACTACAAATTATTTATATTGTTATTATATGGTTCAAATATCTCGAATGGTCATGTTACACAACATATGTTTAGTAGTAACTTTACAAGTACATTTCTTTTCGCACTTTTACCTTTCGAATCTTTATTTCCACGATATCGTTCAAGAATCTACCCCGTCACATGTGTCAGCTGATATACTAACAGCTGAGAGTCTAGACAGACACTTCACATTCAGAGTTTTTCTTACGTAATATGTTCATGGTCATGATTTTCATATTGTTTGATATCGCAATAGGTAACAAACTGGAATTACTGATTCAGAATCTAATTCAATAAATCAATTTTTCAAATATAAATATTTTGGTAAAGATCAGTAATAGTAGTTTTATCTCTTTACTTTACATAAACATATTTCAAATATGTATTTGGTCTAAATATTACCTTTGTTATTTTATATACAAGACACAAATTAATTTGTTTTCGAGTATTACACTAATGTTTAGAATTTATTATAAAGTAAAATTCGAAAGTTAGCATAAAAAATCCTAGTAGGTATTCGAATAAATATAAATTTTCATACACCTGAATTGCTTTAAATCTTCATATATCAAGCCTTACCTGTGAACAAAAGGACAATATGAAAAACCTTAAAGTTTAGTTTTGAGCAAAAATAGATCTTCAGGTGGGACTAATTTGTTATTACGCAAAAAAAATTCATATAATATAATTAATTAAATATTTATATGCCTAAATTCTTACCCAGTTGAATGTTCAAACAATGTTTGCTTGAGAAGTAAAAAACATAATTATTTGATTCAATAGAATAGTTCTGTTTCATGTGAATTATAAAAATTATAGATACTTGTAGTAATCGCAAAAAATCAAAAATTGAAATTTTTGCATATTTGCATTTCGAAGGTTTCTAAATATTTTGGCACACCTTAGAAGAAGTGCATATATGTGTGGTTCAAAAATTTATATTTGTTGGTCAAATATGATCTTCACAAATGATTATTATTGATTCATATACAAATAGAATTATTATTGATTCATATACAAATAGAATTATTGACTGTTAAACAGGTTGTCAGGTAAACAGGTGGTCAGATAAATAGGTAGAGAGAGAGGTAAACGAATAGTTGGGAATAAATGTAGAGAGGTAATGAGGTAGAGAGGTTGACAGGTAGATCATATATAAATTAAATAAATATTATTAAATCCATTATTTACTCATATAGATATGCTCCTGCAACTTTCCACGAGGCAAAATGATGCTTACAACTAGTTTCTATTGACAATGGGGCATTATGCATACTCAGATGTATAAAAAGCAGACGTCTAAATATCCTAATAGTCCAGCAAAGAAGTTAGGTCAAATTCAAAACATTTAAAAATATATCCCAATAACCTACTTTAAGTTTTCTAAACTATTGTCTTTTGTTTTCTTTTGAAATATTATAACTCTACTAAAGAGATCATCACCGAACATAGTTATTAGATTTTTTGTGCAATAATTGATGTATTCAATTGCATCGATCAAACATATGCATCGATTTCTCGCTTTTTCTAATAGATCTTCTTGTTATGTAATATTTTTATCAAATTATTCTAATGTTTTATCGATTGTGAATTTCGCATGGCCAAATGTGATGTAAAGCAAAATTCTGTTTACGGAATAGATTAGAAAAGTGTACAACGCAAGGGCATAAATCCTTCGTTCCATTATAATTAAGCTTATCTGTGATCAAATGGAGAAATGCCTGCTCGCATGAATTCCCATTTCGATATGTAGATCTCATTTGAATACAAACGGAATTCCGTAGGTGTATCGTAGCGAAGTAGAAATATATGGATAATAGTTTAGTTATATACAAAGTTTATGGATAATAGTTATATGCAGTACGTGTACTGATATATTAATTCGGTGCAATGACAATTTATTTTATAAAACTAGTTGCAGGTTGCATTTTGCCTTTTGTCAAGTTGCATGAACTTAATTCAATCAATAATACCTCCTAAATTATATATGATTTATCTCTGTGTACCTGTCCATCTGCCTGCCTCTTCAGATGTTTACATCTTTACCTATTTCCTTGTCTACCTATCCATTTATTTATCTGTACATGTATCTACCTTTCTTACTGTCTACCTGTCCACCTGCCCACCTGTTCCCCTGTCTACAACCGAGTGATGATAGATTTTGATGTATTTAGCAATCCGGGATATGCTATTTTTCTTGGAAATATATTTGATATATGTATGAAAATGTAAATTACTTGGAAATGTATTTGATATGTGTATCAATTTAAATACATATCATTTTGATATTGTAAAGTGAATTAAACTATTTGTGTACTGCAATACGATATCGTATATTTTTTATTTGCATTTTATTTCCATTCATTTTCTCGCGATTTCAATAATTATAGTATACGAGAAAGTGTTTTCTAGAAAGTGTTTTAAAAATATAAGATCAAAATAGAATAACATCAGCTTTCGACTACAATGGTATGTTAATCCATATAGGTAAATTAGTTCCACGTAAAAGATAATAATATTATGAACACCTGTCTACGTTTGTTCAAAATAAGTGGATCAATAGCAATTTGTAATTTTGTCGCACGAATTATCTATTTATTATCATATGAATACACTCGTTTGCGATTATGAACTTAAAAAAACACTGTGATTTTGTTACAAAGTAAACGTCATATGGAAATTCTTGTTTGCAATTATGAATTTAAAAAAGTACTGTAATTTTGAAACAAACAAACATAGTTGCTAAATATATGCAGGGAGCAAATCTCAGTTTTGCACTTTATGAATGTACTTTTTTATCATGCAATATTGTAGGCATTTAATTGCATATACATAATTAAATGTCGTGCTAGAGATGTACATGTTTCGATTAAGGATAAATAATGGAATATTATAATTGTACACTCTCAACTACTAGAGATTTTGGATCAAACACTATAGTATTTATGTAATCTTTAAAAGAAAACATTCAGGATAATGGGCATAACAAAGAAAACTTGATTTTTCTCTAATAGTATATCAATAGTAGACATAAAACCTATGTTCTAGATTATTAATGATGTGTTAATATTGACCTTGAATTATATTATATATATATATATATATATATATATATATATATTTTCTTTAAAAAAATGTCCATCGCACTTTGAATTAAAAAAGCTTTCAAAAATAATATTTCGAAATAATTCTAATCCAATGTTCTTTTGGCATTATTCGTCGTAAATGGAAATTTAATTCACGAAGGATGCTATTAATAAAGTTGACGGAATCAATAAATGATATCTCCTTTTGCATTTATTATCCTCGGTTTCATCTGATGCCAACGAAGAACACGTAATTAGTTTTATTAGTGCTTCAAAATGATTTGTCATTGGTAAAAAGATATTCAATAATGGAAATATAATAATGAGATATAACTAATCATTTTGTGGAAACTTCTTAATCGAAATTTCTGAATTATAGCAATAAATAGGAATAACAAACTTTTTACATATATTATAAAATACAACACTCTGTACAACATATTGAATTAATTCTGCAATATTCTCATGAGAAATAACAACATTATCATGAAAACTTTTTTGACTGTAATTTCTCTATGATTCAGACCATATTTGTTCAAACTTATAATTAGGAATTATATAGGTCAATGCTTAATATAGAGGTATAAACTACTCCTTTAAGATTTATTCTTCTGGGCAATTTTTATTCAATCAGCGATATGAACAGCCAGCAATATTAATACGATACAGATTTTCTTTAATTTTATAATACGATTATTTGTGATTTTTATTATTGATATTAGTTTGTACAAGATGACAAATGAATTTTTTGAACTAATTGAGCTTCTCAATTTCCATAACTGTAATTTGTATTTTTTTTAATTCCTTAACTTCGATTTAATTGGTAGTGTTTTTGTGATATTTATATAAAAATATTGAAATACTAATAATATACAGTTTACATAGCTAAATTTAGTTGATTTTATTAAAGGTAAATTATATTCATGATTAACAATTCTATTAGCAACAAACACAAAATTAATAAGTGGCCATTTAAGGAGAAAGAGCCCTTTAATGTGATGCATTTGTGTCTGAAGAATATATATGAAAATTATACATAACGATTACATTTGCATTTTGATTATGATTTTTTTTTATTCAAGATGATATGTTGCAGTGTTTTTTCCTTATTTCTCAGAAATAAATGCTACCACTTCAAATGCACTTTTACTTCACTTCAAAGGGCCACCCTAAATATAGGGTGGTCCAGGGTGGTCCATCTAGTGGTCCTAGTGATCTAGTGAATTACGGTTTAGATATTTCTGTAAAGAAAACATATAAAGTATTATACATCGTTAGAAAGGTCTAAAAATTCTTAGTTTTTTTCCATATATCGCAACTTCGAATTTTGCACGGCGTGGCCTACAGGCAAGTTGCTATCGTAAAATTTCAGAAAAACTGGAAAATCTCGAGAAAATTATATGAACATACTTAACCATTTATATACCATTTTATTTGTAATTTTATTCTGCATCTTTCGTACGAACAAAGTTTTTTCGATGAATAAAAAAATGATAGCCTGACTGGTTCCATGGTAGTTCCACCAGGTCCGTGATATAAGATCACCACAAATCAATGTTTATTTTTCTCTTTTTGTTTTTTTTATTTCTTTATACATTTATTTTACCATTAATCGCTTTTTTATTTTTGCTTGTTTCCTGGTCTTGTGCTTCAATTTTCAGTTTCTTGTATTTTTCTTTCTTGCGTAGGTCATCAATAGTCTGCATTTTTCTCCTTTCAAGCCCTTCATCCCTTTCATTTTATCTTCGACGACGTCGTGTAGAAAGCACTTTTTGCAGAAGGGGTCCAATATAGTTTCATTTCTTTGACCACTCTTCTCGCTCTAAATTTATAATTTAAAGTTATTTACTATTTGGTCAAATAACTTATTGACTTATATATAATTGCTATTTGTTAACTCCCAGCATTCCCTTACATGCAACCTTCCAAACTTCGATTATTTATTTACCCATGTAGTACACGAATTCAAATTCTCGAAATGCTTCGACTAGTAGCAAAAGCAGCATTTTTCTCGAAGAGTTATGCATATCACTATCGCAAATGCAACTAGGCAGTTTATGCAGTTAAATATCTGCATAGTTCTCGTTTTAAAACATGATTTACAAACGTTAAGCACGCAAACATCATTAGACC